GGTACGGCAGAAAACATCCATATGAGACTAACCGCAGTAACTCCGAATGCAACCGATGTGGTTCATACCGTCACATGAACGATGAGGATTGTTACGCTCGCAAAGCCCGGTGCAATACTTGCGGGAAAATTGGACACTTTGCAAGGAAGTGTAAGAGTGGAATTAGTTTCCGCCCCAATACTCATTACAGTCGTACACGTTCACCGGTAGGCTTAGGTGCAGTCCTGGTGCAGAGAGATAGGTCAGAGATTCCGAGGATCATAAGCTTCGCCTCAAAAGGCCTAACCGCTTCAGAGCGAGTTTATCCACAGACGCAACGAGAAGCGCTAGCCGTCGTCTGGGCAGTAGAGCGATTTTATCTGTACCTTTTCGGCATCAAGTTTACTGTCTTCACAGATCATAAGACTCTGGAGTACATTTACGGTGGAGGGCATCGGGAAAGCAGACGCGCCTGCACCCGAGCTGAAGGTTGGGCTCTGCGTCTTCAACCGTACGACTTCAAGATGAAGCATATTCCGGGTTCAACTAACATCTCGGACATCCTTTCGCGATTGTGCTGTCAGTCAGATAAGGCCTTTGACGACAACGCTGAGCACTACCTATGCGCCATTGAAGAAGGACCGGCGGCTATAGTTCTAGACGAAATCTGACGTGAGACAAAACAGGACGAGGTACTAAATGCTGTAATGGAGGCACTTGAAACAGGTGTGTGGCATGCTCAGCTAGTCCATTATCAGGCTTTCAGCAAAGAACTTGGCATTGTTAGTGGGATAATAGTTCGAGACGACAGAATAGTGCTCCCTTCTGCTCTGAGGCCCAGGGCCCTAGATATCGCGCATCGTGGTCATCCTGGAGTAATTACGATGCGGAGGTACCTCAGGGAGAAGGTTTGGTGGCCTTACATGGATCGAGATGTCGTGGATAGAATACAGGAATGCGCAGGTTGCGCAGCAGTGAGCTCACAGGGACCTCCAGAACCTATGCTGCGGAAAGAGATGCCTGAGAGGGCATGGCAGGAGATCGCAATCGATTTCTTTTCAGCAAAGGAATGTGCGACATTCCTTGTGATTGTCGACTACTTCAGCAGATTTATAAAAGTAATCGAGATGAAGGGTACGACAGCGGCCAAGACCATTGAGGCTCTGGAAAAGGTTTTTGATGAGCAGACCTACCCGGAAACCATTAGAAGCGACAACGGTCTACCGTTTGCAAGCGAAGAGTTCTTCAAATATTGTACGTCAAAAAATATCCATTTGGTGCGTACCATCCCATATTGGCCTCAAATGAATGGGCTCGTAGAGCGCCAGAATCAAGGGATTCTGAGAGCGCTGCGAATAGCGAAGGCGACGGGCTTGGATTGAAGAAAGGCGGTAAAAGACTATGTCCACATGTACAATACGACCCCTAATTCGGTTACAGGTAAAGCACCTATGGAGTTATTAACCGGTCGTCCAGTGAAGGACTTATTACCTTCTTTGAGAACCGATCCAAGCTGGCGTCGAGAGGACGGAGTACGAGAAACCGATGCGGTCAAGAAACTGAAAGGAAAGATCTATGCAATCAACGTCGTCATGCAGCAATTTCGGATATCAATGTTGGCGATGCAGTTATTCTCCGAAACTACGAGTCTGGAAAGTTGGAACCGAAATTTAGATTGGATCGTTTCGTTGTCAAGAAGAAATCTGGAAACAACACTATCGTTGCGAACGAAGAGGGATTGATGCTTCGTCGATGTGTAACGCATCTGAAGAAGTGGCCAACTCCAGGCCTACCAGAGAAATTACCACTGGCAGCTCCGTCGACAGAACAGGAACCGGAATCATTAGGATCTTCATCCGCACCGTCGTCTTCTAAAAACACCTTTGACTCTTCCACAGGTATTAGCCATAACTCCGGGGAAATACACCGAACGTCGCCGACTACTTCGAACTCGCCTACAGCCGATCGACTAAAGCGGAAGAGCTTGATTGACCAGAAGGAACCACCTACAAGACGATCTGACAGGCCTAAGAAGATACCGCGCCGATACGTACATCCAGTAGAAGAGCGAGCAACGTAGAAGCCGTCTTGATTTTTTTTACTATTACATTTTCTTATGTTCGTTATTCCGGAGTAGGACAGGGATGTAGAGTCATGCGAGAGAGTTATTTGAGAAAGAGAGAAGGTGCAGAGATGACAGAGAGAGAAGTGTGGAAAGAAAGAGGTCGAGATAACTATTAGAGGCAGTCGGAAACCAACAGTGTAACAGAACGGATCAAAACGGTTTGAGTATAAAAGTGTAACGGAGTGTATGATTTACGACGAAAGATCTGGTGTGTTAGGATTCTACACCTATGATCCTGACTTTTTTACCTAGGGGATGAGTACTTAAGGGGGTTAGATTTTGATAAGTTCTTTAGTGGGAATGACACTGATGAAGACTGCACATTGTAGTCGAAATACGTATCTGTCATGGATACCAAAATTAATTAAGTGGAATTAAATGGAAGATAACCTTTTTTGCTGTTTTATTTTACTAGAGCTTCTTTTTTGAAACCTAGTAGTAGTCACAGAGTCACTATGAACGAAGTTCCAATTTCCTGGTCAAACCAAGGGAAATATCTTGGATTAATACTTGACCAAAAATTAACTTCTAAAGATCACATTGAGGGCATTCAAGCCAAATGTAACAAATATATATGTTTGTATCCTCTTATAAATAGGAAATCCAAACTTTGCCTGACGAATAAACTTCTAATATTTAAACAAGTTTTTAGACCGGCCATGCTTTACGCTGTGCTAATATGGTCTTGTTGTTGCACTACCAGGAAAGAAGCACTTCAAAGGATTCAGAACAAAGTTCTGCAAATGATTTTGAAGTTGCCTTCCTGGTACAGTACTACCGAAGTACATAGAATTTCGAATGTTGAGACTTTAGAACAAATGTCCAACAAAATAATTAATAATTTCAGGCAAAAATCGTTGCAATCCTCAATTGCAACGATTAATATAAGATAAGATTTAGTTTTAGTTTTTAGTTTTAAGATTTCAATTGTTATACTGACATGCAGGTTTAAAAAACCTGTGTAAAATACTGAATTGCCAAGGCAGGAACAATGTAAAAACACTTAGATATATATCATAACAATTAAGGCTGGTAAGTTACTGTAGTAACTGGAGCACCTAGGTTAAAATGAAATGTAATTTATTTTGAATTTGAAACAAATGGAGTTAAAAAAAAGGAATAAAAAAAGCTTTTTTTAGATCAGCTTTCGAAACATGTTTTGTTTTTTTTTGTTTTGGATGGCGTTGGCCAAATTCGGATTTTTCAGATGTAATCCTAAATAGGACCTAGATTATTTAATACTCTAGTAACCTCAAGTCCGTGCTCTGTCACAATGTTTCATTGTAATTAATCAACACTCAAAGGGGTAAAATATAAAATTTGGGGTAAATTTGAAAGAAAGGGAACTTGTAGTGTAGAGCGCACTGCCCACTGGACGATTCTGAAGCCTGGCCAAGTGATCGGGGTATGGGTTTATTTGATTGAACGTCATTTCCAATGTATATATTGATACATTCAAACCATAGGCATTTGAGATAAGACAGAGATAGGATGCGGAGGGCCCGCTTAGGAGGATCGTAACCCATGTTATGGTTGCCATTTATTAATTAGTTCAGATAGGCTAGAAATGACAGGAATGTAGAATGTAGCTTAATTTTCATAGGGTTCAGAGTGGCTGAGCTGTTCGTTTGTAGTTTGACCTTCCTTCAAAACCAATTTGGCTCTACAATTTTAAACTTGTTCTGCATTATTCACATGTTGCAATTATTGAAAAGAGCTCGATATAAGATAGCCACAGAGAACAGACATTGAGGCTCCAAAATTTCTCTAAAAACTTGTGTAAAGATTCCTTTTCGACTTAAGCGCCACTAACGGCGACTTCCCCACTTAAAAACCCTCTTTGACAACATGATGGCGCTGGCATTGCTGGCATTGCTGGCAACGCTTCTTTTGTTTTTGGGAATAATGGATGCAAACCTTCATATCACGCGTTCTCATTGACTTCATTCCGTAGCGTATTAACTAAAGTATCGTAACACACGCATAATTGACTTGTTAACTCTAAAATCATGGATTTATTTGAAGTTTTCTGCTCGATAGGCCCATAATGGGCGATTAGACCGAAATAGTTCTCTACCCTATCTATGGGTTTTTTTCTCATTCACAATAGTTTGGGGGGGAGGGGGCGATCTGAGAGCTGAATAGAGGCAAATAAAATAGGGAACACAACACTATGACCCAAACGACTAACCAACGCATGCGGCTCACACTTAACTTGTTCTATTTCTTTCTGTACCAATATTACCTGAGAACAAATGGGAACACGGCCAGATTTTCAATAGGAAGAAGGAAAAAAGCGAGAAAACGTAAGAGAGTAAGCAGTCAGAAAGGATTAGGATTAGATTTGGAAACAGCTAATTTATACTGGACGGAACTGGTAAGTAGGATAAGAATTGTAAAAGGTGTGTGCTTGCATGATTTACCTATTTTAGAATTACCTATAAGCCACATGAGAACCTCCTTTCCTTCAATTACTACTCCATTGCAGCACACACCTAATAATGATCACTAACATTCATATAGTTTCAGCAGTATCGACATTTATAATCAAAAGGTGAGTTGTAAAGTATAATTACCATGCATAGATATAAGTTAATGTACCAGAACCTGAACGGACACGAGCCTACCCAGGGGTGGGCCCGGATACGACCACCCATGTGTGTCTAGAGTATCGCACGAGCTGACGAGTGCAACGGGAAGGACAGTAGGTGTATAGACTAGGGGGTTAGTCCCTAGATAAGCCAACTCAGCGGTTGGCACAGCCTATACACTGAACAATTACAATTACAATTACAATTACAATCAACTGGCCTTTCGAAACATGTTTTCTTTCTGAGGTATACATTTAATATCATTTAATTCTAATTCATTTATTTCATATAATAGAAACGTCACTGCACAATAGATTACACCTCATAACAAAATTATCAATGGTAAGTTTAAAAAAATATCAGCACTAAAATAAACTTATATCACAAATGAATGCAACTGACTAGAATACTGTTGATGGGAAGACGAAGCCACGTATTCCAATACATATTTCCATGAAGTGCCATAATTCCACGCTTCGCCTAATACTTTCCGCTCGGTGCGTGATATTTTCTAAATTTATATTTTTCTCAATCACCAGCTCAGTTTTAAATACCACATTAAACACTAGATTAAACAATATTTTGGAATTTGAATTGAACTGCACGAAATTATTGACGTGTGCGTGCAATTATGGCACAATCACAATATAAGGAATATGATTTAAATTAGATGTGGTGGTGGTCCGCAACCCATACTTTCTGTTGATCCGAGGGCTAGAGAAGTCAGTATGGTACGACGACCTGGATGGACCCCCAGATTTTCCCAATTGATCCACGATAGGCGAGCTGTTAAATCTACAAATATAACAAAAATAGAAACGTTCCATGAAATTTCCTTTCACAAAAAAAAAAATCACACCCTTACCACTTGTATTCCAGTCAGCCCGATTGGCTTTGATCTCTCCTCGGAGACATTTTTCGACGTACGTCAATGGATCGTAGTCCGCTTCGAGCACCTCCCGCAACAGGGCAATGTACGCGATTGCCAGCCGAAGAGTGTCGATTTTGCTCAAGCGCTTTTCGTAAGGGAATGTTGGCACGTGGACGCGCAGCTCGTCGAATGCTGAGTTAATGCTACTGTTTGAAATTGAATTGGAATAACTGTTCATTAGATTGGCCGGTACTTTCTAATTTTGAAAGGAAAACATCTTATCTTACCCATTTGGTGCTGATCTTAAGACTCGTTTACGCTCTCTTACGTTGGTTTGCTGACGTTGGATTTTGTATGGAGCTGCATTGTACGGGTGGTTGAGCGATGTTGACAAAGATGGGCTTGCCGAGCTGGGTGAATCCAAGCAATCTGAATAATACAATAAAAGAAGGAGAATTAAATAGCGAATTTAATGTTGATGGAATACAAATAGTTTACACGTGTGTAATATAGACTAAATAATCTTTGCTGAATTTTGAAATTTATAGTTAATTGGTACATTATTTTCTCTGCTCAGAACATAAATCCACTGCGACCAGTAATTTGATCTATTGTAGTGTACCCCGTGTCCTTAGTTTAGTGCAGGTCTTATTACTCCATCACTATTGAAAAATGGTTTGAAACAGTTTTTATCCATTATCGCAAGGATCCTACTCTAATTGTAAGGTCCCACTCTTTATATTATTCGGAGTGTTAGAACACCTTACAAAGGCGCACGCCTTTGTCAGTCAAAAACGGATTCCTTTGCAACAAAATCCAGCAAAAACACCGATAATGACCATTAGACTGATGCAAATTTTGACTTTTTCGCTCCACAGTGCTTAAATGGTTTCAAATCGGGTCGTGATTAGCCTCCAAAAGTTACAACTCATTTGGTTAGAAACAGACTTCGCACAAACCATTTGAAGTTTACATGTAAATTACTATGGGAAATATCAACTTTTTGTTCATTGCCTTCTAGTCTTTTTCCATATTGAGCTGCAAAACAGCTCGATAGCTATTCTTAAAGAAAATTTTCTCAGCTACAACTTTGCTGAAGACCGTTTCTATGTAAAACGAGACAGGAAATAGTTATTAATTATTTAAGAGATTGGTAAACTTATGACATGATCAAGCAGCTGCTCTGTAGGCAACACTGTATTTTGCAGTGTGACATAGTAGCCATAATTTTTGTGTCCTATTCAACGCCCCAGAAACACCAATGTTGCCTGCTGAGCAGTTGATTGAGCATGATCATAAGACATCAGTGCATTGAACCATTAATAACTTTCGATCCTTGCATTTAATCAAAAAGTGGTCTTCAGCAAAGTTGTAGCTAGGAAAATTTCCTACAAGTAAAGTTGAAAGCTTTTGAAGCAGACCGGTATGGTGAATTATTAGATAGACATGAACAAAAATCTTGGTTTTACCATAGTAATTCCCATACAAACTTCAAATGGTTTGTGCCATCTCAGTTTCTCACCAAATGGGTTCAAATTTTGAGAGGTTAGTCAGGATCCGATTTGGAATCGTTTAAGTATTGTGGAGCGAAAATTTCAAATTTTGCATCACTCTAATGACCATGCATCAGAATCCTAGTCTTAACCACTTCAAACAGCGAATAAAAGATTAGGAATCACGTAGATGAAAAATATCTAGGAACCTAAGGGCCGTTTTCTTCACCAACCCCGCTTAACGCTTTAAACCTGGTTTACCGTAAGCTTCGCTTAAATTTAAACGTCAGTTTTAAGCCTCGCTTAAAAGTTGCATTTCTTCACGTCGGTTTAACAATTTGAGGCGGCCGCTTACCGTAAACCTGGTTTAGCAAATTTTCCAATATCGTTCCAGTATATTTCCAACCCAAACGTCATTTTTAGCAAGTGAGATTTGTTTTGATCTGAGTTTGCCTGTTTGCTTTTTTATTACGTAGAAAAGAAAATGCCACCGAAAATCGAACAAAAAAAGCGAGTTCGCTCGGCAAATTTTTCGGAAGCAGAGGAGGAGCTGCTGGTGAGATTGGCATTGAACCGCAAAGATGTCATTGAGTGTATGGCCAGCGATACGCAGAGGAATGATGATAAAGCCAGTGCGTGGGAGGAAATCACCGCCGAGTTTAATGCAAATTGACTCAACACGGTGAGTAACATATTTCATAGTATTTAATTACCACTTCTCCACTGTACAAATTTATCTAAAAGGCATTGTTTTTTAAAATCTTAGGTTCGAACTTCTTCAGTATTAAAGAAGAAATATGAAAACATAAAAAAAAATTAAAGGGTTGTGTCCTAGACACGACCGCAGTATGACGTAGAACCTATTTATCTATCTATATCTATGATGCATGATATATGCATTTAGGTTAACATTCGACGTCAATCCTTTTATTACATATTTTGCAGAAAAAATACATCCAAAGTCCCTCCTTTTTTGCATATTCTGCACAAAACATACTTTATTAGCCCAGCAACTGAAGGGATTTCCCGCCATTTCATTATTAATGGGGCGGAGCAAAAAGTTTCTTTTGTGCAGAATATGGAAAAAAAAAGGATGGACTATGTTAATATAATTTCATATATAGAGGTACCAGATATGTTTTACAGTCAGTTGTTGGTAATTCATCGAGTGTATGTCTCCTGTTAAGTATTTTTTTTTTTGAAAATGTTGGCTCTACATGTAAAAAATTAATTGTTTATACATAATTGTGGTCTGCTTAAAATTTATTTCCCGGAAAAAAATGATCGTCAAAGTCCATGTCTTTTTCGGGTTATGTTAAGGGGGGAGGGAGAGAGGTTGTTAAGAGGGAGGGGGTTTTACATGCACGTTTTTTCAAGTCTCATTCCTCATTGTGGTGGACACGCCGTGATCCACCTTTGGCAGCTGACTTGGTCCTGCTTGCTACAGGACCTAGTGCCACGCCGTCCGAAACGGTAATGAACAGAGGCAGGAGAGCAGCGCTGATATATTTCTTTTCAGGTTCAAGCAGAATGATGTGCAACCAAGTGGTATTCGTTTATGATGACTGGGTTTGGGAAAAAGGATTATTTCATGAAAACAGTGATAAAATTATCATTTGTACATTTTCAAAAGTTTAATTACAGAAAAATTAGAAAAATATTTATTTCAGCCGTTTTGTAATGTAATATCCGATCGATTGGCGTATTTGGATTTAAATTTCATCTATAAATGACAAAGTTACAAGCGTTCAAAACCTAACACTCCTTCACCACAAATATTTTTTGATTTGCACCCCAGTATAGTCGACAAAGACGTAGTTCTACGTCAAAACTATCCGTCAAGCTGCTTCTAAAGAGAAGATGTCGCGTAAGGCTACCGGCGGCGGTCGAGGCCCTGACGAATGGCGGCCAAAATCTGAGGTGTTGGCTGAGCTTCGCGAGGTTATTGCACTGTCGGTCGATGGACTTCGATCGATGTGCGACGATGACGATGATTATGACGAAAACGCTGTTACCATCACAATGGAGGAGGCTGCAATGCCAGATGGTTCGAACAAAGTGATGACTGAAGATGCGTATGTGGTCGAATATTTGGAGGAGACAGAAGTTAATTTGAGTAGCCAAGATAATTACTTGATAGAACAGAAAGTTGGGGGCAACGAGCGTGTTGATAATTCTTCCCTCAAATCACCTTCCACTCCATCACCAGTTGGTGATCCAGACGCAATTGCCGGTCCTAGTCGGTGCATTAATTCTGCACAAACACGAAGAGGAGATAAGTGCGAAAATTACAGCCCTGCAATGTTAAAAAGGCCCATGAGCAGTGTTTTGAAAACCCGTACGAAGCGTCAAAAGTCTACAGTCGAACTGGATCTTAAAAAGAAGTTGTTAGAACGTGACGAAGAAATGTTAGAATAAGTCCATCGGCTCGAAGTCCAGAAGCGCAAGGTAGAACTCGAGTCAGCACATATTACTCTCCAAACAAAGAAAATGAAGCTACAATCGCAACAGCTTCGCTATCAACACTTGAGGGAAGAGCATGCGATGCGGATGAAACTCTTGAGCTACACGTATGAGAAGAGCACAGAAAGACGAAAGAACAGTTCCGGATCAGAGAGTGAATAATTTTTGTTTGTTATCCAATTTGCTACAATAGTAAATAAAAGGTTGCAGTTTACACAGTAGTTTTTTTATTTTAAAATAGTATCAAACATTATCTTTTTATAACTGTGAGAAAAATGTTGAACTAAATGGTCACGAACACAACCCGTTGCGCTTCTTTCCATATTAGGACAATCTGGAACAGCAGTTGCAGCTAACATTTCATCAAATCCTTCGATTTCTGCTGGCGGCTCCACTTCCTTAGCATCAATTGCAATATTATGCAATACTGCACACGCTACAATAATGAGCTGAACTGTTGATATTTTTACACGTATTCCCAACGACAATACTGGAAATCGCCGTTTCAATACGCCATAAGAACGTTCTACAACATTCCGGGTACGGATTTGGCTTTCGTTGTATAGTGTTTCAGCTGACGTTTCACATCGGAGAAAAGGTGTAGCCAAATACTTAGTGTTGCGGTATCCGGAATCGCCAACGATTATGAAGTGTCCAAAATCACCCCGCTCGAACTGCATCTTCAATGTTGAATTATTGAAAATGTGTTGGTCGTGTGATGCTCCAGGCCATCTTGCGACAATGTTCAAAACTTTCAAATCTGCTGAACTGACTGTTTGTACATTCAGTGAAAACCAAGATTTTCGGTTTCGGTAGTTCTCAGCTTGATTACCACCAGGTGATTGTATCTTGATGTGGGTACAATCAATTGCACCAATAGTTCGAGGAAATTTTGCAATTGCGTAAAAATCACGACTTGCTGCATGTAGCTCATCTTGCGTTTTTGGCATCCTTATAAAGCGTTGGCGTACTTGAGTTAATGCAAGCGAAACACGTCGAATAATGCGGCACACCGATGAAACACAAACGCCAGCAAAATCGGCAATGGCGATCTGCATCGATCCTAATGCATAAAATCGAAGAGTGACCAATAATTGTACAAGCGGACGAATGTGTCGTGATCTATATTAATCGAATGCAATGAAATGGGAGTGTTTTTACTTTATTTAATAGCATTTTTCTGGCTTCCGAAAATACTAGCTTTATTGAAAATTGCAAGTACCACAATAAATAAAATCGCCAAATAATGATTAATACGCATCTTTTCAAATTGACGCAATATTATAATATGCAATTCCATTATGCGGACTACCTACCTTGTTTCATCGACTTCTATATCAGGACGAATAATTTCCAGGACCATCGCCATGGTGTTTTTCTGAAGCCGGAATCTCTTGAAGAAATCCTGATCGTCCCAGGTGTCAATGCTGATGCGAGCATGCATTTTATATTGGCGACGTGCTAATTGTAAAC